GCCCCGCTCGGGCCCGTTCCCTGCACCTGCTTTGTTCTGGCCTTATGCTGCCGCAGCCACAAGCTCACGAGTGCTTTATATAATCCAAAGTAAGATTTCTACTACTGTGGCTGCTCCTGACTACTTTCTCTGCCTGAGCAGTCACAAACAAAATGCCTCTTCCTCAGGCATATGTCTTTCGTGGTATAATTAAGTTTGGAAAAGAACTCTAAGATCATCAAGTCCAACATCACCCACCACTAGCATGACCACTGAATCACATCTCAAAGTGCCTAATCTACATGTTTTTTAAACTCCTTCAGGAATGGTGCCTCCACCATCTCTGTGGGCAGCCTGTTCCAGTGCCTCACCACTCTCACAGGAAAGAAATTCTTCCAAATGTCCAGTCAAAACCTCCTCTGGCACAACTTCAGCACAACTTCCTCTCATTGCTAGTTACCTGGGAGAAGAGACCAACACTCACCTTGCTGCAACCTCCTTTCAGGTAGCTGTAGAGAGCAATAAGGTCTCTTCTCCAGACTAAGCAACCCTATTTCCCTCAGCCACTCCTTGTGAGACTCGTGCTCTAGGCCCTTCACCAGCTTCACGGCCCTTCTCTGGGCCCACTCCAGCACCTCAATGTTCTTCTTAAACTGTGGTGCTTTTCTGGTGACTGCCCAACATAGAAGGATATTACCATCAACAGGGAAACCAACAGTCAAAGTCATCCCTCCACTCTTAAATCACACACCAGAGATCCAAGGTGCCAAACCACTGGAGGGAGGAATAAGTTAATGCACAAACACACAACACTGGATGTGCAGAAGAGAGCAAGCTGGCCAAGGATCTGAGCCATGGGAGATGGAATCAGCCAGGCCCTGAGTCCCAGATAGAAATTCATGATCTTGTGCTATCCTGAAAACTCCACTTGCCAAGACGAGTCCAGGAGCCCCTTTCAATAGCCAGAATCCCCACAAAACACATGCACTACACAGACAAGGCCTCCCAACCCCATTGCAAGCCGAGTCAGCTCTTATAGAGGTGTCTTCTTGCCCTATTTCTGAGTTAATGTGGAAGGTGGGGGCACCTGGTGTCTCCTAATCAGTTCCCACCCAAGGCTGCCCAGACCCTGGGTGAAAACCAGTCAGGAGGGTCTTTCTTTCCTGGTTGTGGACATCATCCATATGGCCACCCTCATTCAGGGCTGGGGTTTTAACCCCAGCACTTCAGGTGCCCCAAACTGAACCCAGTAATCAAGCTGTGTTCACCCATCCTTTCTATGATACTTTTGTCCACCTCCTCCATGTTCATCAACTACTTTGCCTAATGCATTTTGGACTGAAAGCATGTTTTCCATTATCTATGGAAGTTGCCTTTTCCCGTGATTCATAAAATCATAGAATCCTTTAGGCTGAAAAAGACCTTTAAGCAGGAGCAGGAGACCAGCAGGAGTAAGGAAGTGATCGTGCCCCTGTACTCAGCACTGCTGAGGCCACAGCTTGAGTACTGGGTTCAATTTTGGGCTCCTAAACCCTGACTCAGTTGCAAAAACCATGTCTTTTCTGAGCTTCTTTTTCATCATATAAAAATTCAGGTAAGCCCAACTGTTTTTATTCTTGGTAGCATTTTAAATTTTATGCATGTTGAAGACTTTTCTGCTGTGTAAAAAGTGAAAGAATAACTCATAAGTCATGGATTTATGAGCTGCAGCATGGAAGCCTATGTGTACTCTTAAAATATGCTTCATGCAACAAAATGTTTGCAGCCTCTACAACATCAAGACAATATAAATATACTAAATTTGATGTAACTTGCAGGTACAGTGTTGTACAAACTCCTCAAGAGACTTTTTCATTCCTTTATTTTCAAATGCAATTCTAAATTTTGTAGTTACATACATTAACTTTATTGTGCATTATTTTATGCAGTTATTTTTCACTCAATTTATGTACTAAGAGCTTCAAGTAGTACAAACTCAATTTCTGAAGAGTGAAGCAATCAATGTACATGGCAGAGATAGTGTAATGAGCCACATTACAAACAGGAGAGTGGAGCTGAGAAAGAAGAAAAAGAGTCCCATCTGGCTTATCTTCCCTGAAGAAGTTCAGTTTACTGCTTTTATACACTACAAGTTCATTTGTTAAATGTGGGAAAGAATGCAATATAAACCACAATTCTGTGTCAGGAAAAGAGAATCTTTATAGTATTATTATTACAGTGCATTAGAAGTGGTTTTGAATATGTGTTCATTCCATCAGTATATACTCTCATAAGTTGCTACAGCCCCAGCAGATTGATACCTAGGGACAAATCTTAGCTGTTAAACTGCTGCAGGTCAGAGTCTTAGCTGGTGGAAATCACCACAATCTGAACCTGTGTCATTCTGTTTATTTCCTACTAAATTATTATTACTGGTTTGGGCATTATCATCATCATCATCATTATTATTATTATTTTCTATGGTGGTAACATTTACTTAGTAACTAACAAATTGAAGTTTTCATGTTCACACCCAAGTACCAATAAATTCTTTTCCAAAGAGCATACAATCTACTGGGTAGGTCATACCCTCACAAATAAATTAATTGGAATATATGCAATTCCCAATAATCAGCTTCATTACTGACAACACCCTCAAATACAGGAAGAGATGCAAACAGGAACAACTTTACTGACATTTAAATGCCAGGTATAATTAAGAGGAGAAAAAGCAGCATGAGAAACTGTACAAAAGGCATACTATGAAATACAAAAATATAAACAGTTTTCCTCAGTCTATATTAAAATACACAAAGATGTTAAAAACCACTGCAGCTAATTTACAAAAAAAAAAATACACCAAGTAGCAGATTCTGCAGACCTGGACTAAATGGCCACACCTCTATTCTGTACCAGCGGGGTTTATTCCATACCACTGAATTTAAAAACGTTCAGCTTTGTATGATTTGGCTTCTATGAGCAATGCTTTCAGGATAAATACAAACCAGACTTACTCCCAGATGAAGAACCTTATAAGCTAAGGCATGCCATAAATATTATCAGCATGCTGGCCACTGTCCCCTTCAACACAAACGTTCACACTATTAAACACTATTGATATATACTGAAGAATGACCCTGAAATTCAGCTGAACAAGGAAGAAATAAGGGAGTATAAGACAAGGTGTAATGATAAAAAAAACCAATAGTAATGAACAGTATGAGATACACAGGGTTATAAATCTATGTCTTGAAATTCTTCTTTGATTATCTTTTTCTAAATAAAGTGCTGCATTAATGCAGAGAAAGCGTTTAATCACTGGGGACACAAATATAAAATTCTAGTTGTTTTCTCTGTAGATGTGTCAATCATTACTCAACAAGTAGTTTTACTTTACTAGAATTACATTTCACAATCATTCTAGGCTTGATACGCTAGTTAACAGAAGCTGCAAATATGAATTACCTCTGAAAGTCTGGATTTAAACATTTAGGTTATAAAATATTGTCTTCATTTTTTCATCAGACAAATTCTTGCTTCGATTTTTCATCCAGCAGGACTGAACAGATTATCATGACTCTTTTCAGAGAAACAATACTAAGCTTGCTTTTATGTCCAGGGGAATGTATGGAAGGGAACTGCCACAGCCAGCCAGTCTAGCAACTGAATAGAGCTTTGTTATTTCAACATTAATGGATATCATGGAGGGCAGATTTTAACAGATCACCAGCATCTTACTTTTAGCCCTTGAACTCCAATTGCCAATTTGTCCCAGATTTTCCCCCTCTCCAGATAAGAGCAATTGTAATTTATAGTTTATATTTATTCATAGATTGCAGCAATTCATTTTAGGTAACACTTTTGGCAAGCTGAGTTTACAATGAACTCATTTTTTTCTAGTTCTCAGCATAACGCTTTGATGACTGCAGGGTAATTTGCAGTCTTAGACTTTTCTCTCAGTATGGGATTTAATTTTCCAAATTACTCTTCCAGGACATTATTTAAACACTAAAGATCATGATAATCTTTTCGTTTAAAAAGTGCATTTAGTAATGGGCCTGTTATAAATACCAATAAAATAGCTAAAAAAATATTTATACATATTACATAATGATATTTACTCTCAGTTGTCTCCACAGTTACGGTAAACGAAGCAGAATTATTTAATACTGACAAAATTATTAAAGTCTATTAGCTACAAGTAAATATGAGAATGAGTATTATTACTGCTATTATAGTTACATACAACATCAGTTTTATGAATAACATTTTATTGTTGCCATTTATGGAGACTGTAGAGCCCAGTCTTGTTACATCAAATGGTCTGTCTTCATATAAAGTCAATTTAATGCAGTGGGGAAAAATAAATTACGATGCAAAGCTGGTAATTTGGGTGAAATTTCTCTCTTTGAGCTCTTAATGCTGAGCTACTGATGCTTATCTTCTAAATATAACCGGCATATATTTACCCTTTGAAAGAGAAACGTGTATTTTAACTTAATCTCAAGTACCCTTTCCCTCATTGCATCATTTGTTCGGATTTGTGATGCCAGAAATGCAGCTATAACCTGCTTGAGTCTGGCTGGGACGCCAGCGTTGGACAGACAGTGACGTTTCAGCTCTGGCCACTCCTTCTCCCCCGAGGACCTCTGGTCTGTGCGGTTTCGCTGCGGAGCTCCCAGCCCCAGTGGCGGTGTCTGACTGCCCCCCGCGGGCAGCACCAGCCCCTCCACAGGCAGCGGCTGCTCCTGGCACACCAGGGGAACAGCCAGACTGGAGGCAGCACTGGGAACAGAATCGTTTAGTGGCAGCAGCTTCCTTCCCCATCAGCATCGTTTGGTTCACGGGAAGATGAAAGCCACGCTGTCCTAGATAAACAGGCACACAGGGAGATATTTTAAGAAGATTATTAAAAGCTTGGAGCCACAGGATGACAGGTTTTGGTTACCCACAGGCTCTGTGTGTAATTCGGGCTCTGTTGTAGCAAAGATTGAAGCTGAAAAATAGGGCTTAGTGTTGGCAAAGTAAAGTTAATACCTGCAGGTCTCATACTTTTGTACCTGAATCCAGCTAATTCAGATTCCTCATTGCTTCTCCACATTCTGATTCCTGGTTTTCTGAAGGGTGCTTTCCTTCTAGTAATATTTCTTTCTTCCTTTTGTATTTTTTCTTAATGCTCAACATAAAGGCCAAAAGGCCCCTTATACACATGATACAATAAAGCTTCTGAAATATGGTACCACATGTGTTTAGCCATTATCCAAATCCATCATCTTTGACAGCATCTTGTTACAGCAAATTAATATAAGAAATATGGGAAAAAATCAGTTTTTTATTTAAAAACCCACTTTTTTTTTAAATAAAAAAAATGATTTAATGTGGATTACAAAACACTTTTTACCAACCATTTATTATTAAATTGCTTGTAGGACCCCATGCCTACATAGGGCTTCACTGACATCAGGGACCAGATGTACAACAGTTTTTCACATTACTGCTTTCAGATAGTCACCAAGAACTATGGTCTCACTCACAGTTTGACCAGAATTAAAATGAAGCTAAAATAAATTGTATTTTGATGAAAGAATACTAACGATTCTGTTTTGTTTTTTTTTTTTTTTTCCACAGAAACGTGTAACAATGGCACTGAGGAGGTATCCAGTAGATTGATTCTGAAGAGCTGAGGAAAATAAATTTGAGAAGGAAAAATGAAAACTTAGTGAACCGATTTTGAAATATACAGAAGTAACTACTCTGCTTTTCAGTTTTTAGGAGAGGCAAGAGACAAGCTTGTTTTGAAAGTTCCATCTTGTGGTAGCCTTGCCAGTTTGTATTTAGTTTACCCCTGGTAGGCAACAAGTCCTAAATTCTACACAATATAAGGAACAAAATATAATGTTTTGTCCATAATATAAGGAACACAAACCTGGGCACAGTTCCATTTAGTTCCTTCTTTTCACTTGTATCTTTTCAAAGTAAAAAGATAAAGGAAATAATGGAGCCAGGACTGGAATGGCCAGCTCCAAGTACAAACAAATCAGTGCTGTTTTAAGACTCTGGAGCTTCACCCAAATTTAGAAATGCTTAATAAAAGAAAAAAATGGAGATGGAGGATGAAGCTTGACTGAAAGAGAATAGGGAAGAGAAGAATCTGTAAGTGTTTTCCAGATATTCTGGACTGGTACATGTTGGTGCTTCTTCACCTTGAGAAGTTCCAAGTTAGAGCAGTATAGCACTTGCCCTGTTGTTCAGTTTAAAGTTGGAAAAAGGAGAACTTACTTTGCCCATTACTGAAAAACATATTTTCTCTGTGCTGAGGCACAGCAGTTAATAGCTCACACTCTTTAGCAAATGTTGTGTAACAAGAAAAAAAAATAGTCCATCCAAATAAAATCAAAGAGGACTTTTAGTAAATTTGCTATGGTAACTGGCAGGGGTCCTGCAGCTAAACCTTCTTGTAATGAAAAGTCCAGGGAACCTTTCTGGCATGCTTGAACTCTGTTGCATAATAGGGCTCACACCAAAATGTAAGGAATTATTTCTAAATTAAACATATACTCACCAATTCTTCTTTCTTTCCAATTATTTCCTGGGGGAAAAAAAATAAAGCATAGGTTTGTGTATGTCTTGATTTAAACCACAGTTTGTTATAATGAGTATATATGTAGGTTTTGATGTGCCCAGAGTAGTGAAGCTGTAGGACTGCTTGTCTGAGCAGGTAACTTCTCTTTTGGGATAAGCACAAAAAGGGTATTCTCTGTGTACCAGTGACTGAAGAGCTCTCAGACTGTATTTGTTTTTCTCTTGTGAAGAGCAGCTTTGTTCATGACTCAGGGGTAAAGTATTGAGGAAGTCAGCAGTACCCTGGAGCACCTGCTCGCAGCACACTAGTTCTAACCTGGTGGGTTTGATTTCATTGGGAACAATGATACAATGACAAAGAGTAACATACCATCCTTGGGTCTCTGAGGTGTTGTGCTAAGACCCTTGGTACTCAAAGTCTGAAACTGTCATTGCAATGTGGCTCTCCACGTTGTGCTGCCTTGTTTCTACCTTCCAATATACTCAATTCAAAGGCTAAGAGGTCTGCCAGATTGTCTTGCTGCCCTTGGGATACATTGGACTCTTGGACCCTGACACAGTTTCAGAAACAGTGTCCTTTCTGAGCTTCTTTTTCACCACATAAAAATTCAGGTAAGCCCAAATGTTCTTATTCTCAGCAGCATTTTAGATTTTATACACATTGAAGACTTTTCTGCTGTGTAAAAAGTGAAGGAATGATAATTCATAAATCCAGTATGTACATACATGCTTTCAGCATGGAGGCCTGTGTATGAGCTTGCTCTAAAGATATAATTCAGACCTTCTATATATGTAAGTCTTTTTCTCCAGAAGGATTTAGAAGCTACAGCTCTGAGCAAAACTTGGAAATAAAGCAGTCTGAAACAGCAACATCAGCACCTTAAATCAGACTGATTTAGTACTTTTTTTCTGAGACATTTATCAGACTAAAGTATAAGCCAAAGGCAAAGCTCTGTCCTGAACTTAACAGTGCATTGGCATGGTGGGGCCAAGTCGTATCAACCCCCTAGTCCCTGGAAGGTGATGATGTGTCTAGCAGCATAGTTAGCTGGTTTTATTTTTTTCCAGTCAAAAAATAGTCTCAGTTTGATGGCCTGGGAGCAGACTTGAGTGCAGAAACAGCAGCATCAGCACCTTAAATCAACTCCTCAGACTGATTTAGTACTTTTTTCTGAGACATTTATCAGACTAAAGTATAAGCCAAAGGCAAAGCTCTGTCCTGAACTTAACAGTGCATTGGCATGGTGGGGCCAAGTCGTATCAACCCCCTAGTCCCTGGAAGGTGATGATGTGTCTAGCAGCATAGTTAGCTGGTTTTATTTTTTTCCAGTCAAAAAATAGTCTCAGTTTGATGGCCTGGGAGCAGACTTGAGTGCAAGGCTTCAAAGCACACCTCTGAATTCATAGTAAGTTACTATTCTTGATTTGTCTCTTCATCATCAAGTTATGGCATATTAGGTTTATCTTCTTTTCCTGATAACAAATAGGTGTTACTACATTTATTGCCCGTTACGAAAAGGCAGTTTTTCAAAATAAACAGAAATTTTCTATGAATAAAAATCAGGAACAGGAAAAGCCAAATCCTCCATCAGTAACTTCAGATCATGCCTTTTATCTTTTCACATGAAAACAATACAAGGAATCTCTCTTTTCTTAATATAAAATTCCTAAATTTTATATTCATCACATAGAAATTTATCACATAACACTGGAGCCACTTACCAAAACTTAGTTGTTCTAAAAGATGTGTCAAAACTGAAGAAAGATGACACAGCAGCATCCTGGGACAAAAGAACTGTGGAATTTAAATGCAAAATCCTGTAACTGATGGCAGGTTACATTCTGTCCACATATGCCCACATATTGCTCTTATTAGCATCAATAAGAACTGTGGATATACATTCAAGGATGGATTTTGGTCCCCAGATGTGACTTAGTAAAATACTGTGTGTTGAACATAAAAAAAGTCTGTACTTACAAACTACAATTATCAGCAACAAAGTGGCAGACAATCCTCCCAGAAAATACCTGAGAGCATAACAACAGCCGTAAGGTTAGACAACAGCAAGGGACACACAGTGGGCTAACAGCAGTGGAGCCTGGGGCAGGGGAGGACAGTAGGTTCTTGTGGATGAACCTCTGAACTCTGGTAGGTGAACTGCAAGTTGAAACTTCACATTATTTAAACTATTGAGCATAATTCCCTACAAATAAAGACCTCAGCATTCCCAGGCTGAGGGAAACACCCCTGTGGGCCAATTAGAAAGACACTGATCCCTTCTGATTCTTCTCAGTCTTTCAAAACCCCTGTCCAAGCACACTTCACAAAGTAGTTTTCATACCTGCATGTATGTCTCTTATTTTTGTTGCTATGTAGCTCAGATATTTGCCTGCATTGATATCATGTGAAAATATATTTTTACAGTAAGATATAGCTAACTCTGAAAATGTGACCCTTAATTTCTGTTTCATTCACTAGTTGAAATGGAGTAACCATTAATATTAGAAGCAATATATAAAACAAATAACACTTACCTTGTTCCTATTGAAATGATTAAACATATAATCACTGCAAATATCTGAGAAAGGATGTTTCGTGCTGTCCTGGATTCTAAAATAAAGTCAGAAAAAGAATTTTCATGAGTTGTCAGGGAAGTAAATATATGATGGAGGTGTTTGCAACGATTCCCTTCAGCCTGTGAGGCCAGACTCTGCAGTTTCTTTTTAAGAGGCTTTGCCTAGAGCGACTCAAAGCGAAAACCTAATTTTCATGCTCTGGGTGTCTCTCAGGAGTGTTTTTCCCCCACGACCATAGAGACGCTGTGCCCTCCGTGGTCTCAGACAAGAAGCCTTTCTGAATAATTGCTTGTTCCAGTTTTTCTTCCCATGCCCTTCCTCCATTTTCCTTTTCACCTTTTTTTTTTTTTTTTTTACACTATTTATCACTGTAAATAGGAGTGGAACAGATGTGAGCAGGGAGGAGTGAACAAGTAAATACCAAATTTAAGATTTCACTACTTTTAATCAGTCATTTAAAATGTATGTTTTCAGAAATAAATTCTATTCTGCAAGGAGCCATATTGACATTTTTAATGTGAGCATTTTCAGTTCACTCTAAAAATGAGGGATATCAGAATAAGAATGTAACCTACTTGCACTGCTCAAAGTCTCTTCGTTTGCATTTATCATAAATGGAGAGCAAGATTGTGAAGCACAAAATGGTTTCCCAGGCTGCAGAAACTCCTCATCTTTGGTGAGAGAGGCTCCATTAGATGCTGGAGTTTGCCCTCGTGGCACATGGCTGATATACTCAGCAGAAACATCTGAATCAACTACAAAACATGCATATGTAACTGAAATAGCACAAAAGAAGAGCTTTGAGACTTTGTGTTAATGAATTTTGTGAGGGGAAGAAAGTAATTACTTAATTACAGGGAGGTTTCCAAGTTGTTAGGGGTAGGAAATTGGCAGGTTCAATGTATGCAGGAGAAAATATGCAGGGTAAAGACAAAACCGCATAGAGCATAACACAGAGAAGTTATTAAGAGCCAGGTGAAGGCAGACAGTGCCAGATACTAATGACACCAGCGTAAACATCACTGCTGAGGACTTTGGATTCCAACTCAGTCTAAAAACGAGATGTTGGCACAAAGGTCTTTGTGGACTCTGTAAACTTTAATGCCAGGAGCTCAGTTCACCACGTACCGTGCTGTTGTCCATCGTGTGCCTCCACATCTCCGCCTGCAAAACCTACAGAAAGAGATACTCAAGTCCCACTAAACCCAGACTGCAATGCTGCAGGTCGATTACTTGATACCTGCTCAGGGCTTACCAATATCGCTCTCACTGGCTTCTAGTTGATTACATCCATCAGGCCAAGGCTCATACACACGGGAGGAGTCCCTGTTGCTGAGGATGGTGCTGCTGAGCCATGAACTGGAGGCACTGAGACTGAACAGGCTGGTGAGAGAGCGGCGGATTTTCTTCCTTCGCCTGAACACACTAGAGAAAAAAGGTGCCTTGTCAAGGAGTAGAGTTAGTTATTGGTTTCGAGCAAGGACAGAGCTCTAAAGCTTTCTGGAGTGACAGGAAAGAACTAGGTTCTGGGTGATGTTCTTGACCCTGGGTATGTCACCAAGAATGACTGCTGCACACTGCAGCAATGTCAGGGAATGTGTTAGCAGCATGGCAATGTACCGTGTGCTGTCATACTGGCTATTGTGATCCCAAATGATACCACAATTATTGGGCTCTTGATACTGCTCTGAGTGGTCTCGTGCTGCCCATGAGTTTCACCCTACCTTATCCTACTCGGTGCAGCCTGAATCCACTGTACTTCTACTTTTTAGAGCTAGATTTTACATACCTTTGTAGATTTTTTCCTAAGAACTCCAGGACCAGACATTTTTATTTTTGTACATGAGTAATATATTAATGTATTACTCATAATGTATTATTTCTTCTTGTTATTTCTTATGAAGGTAACACCCCATTGGCAAAATGAACTGTAGCTCTCCATGTCTTTACTGCACAGAATGCCAACTGCAGCAACAACTGTGTACTGAAGAGTTTTTGGGTAGTAAGATTAGACATGACTGAAAATCACATTACTTCAATCACTGCATTCTCTAAACTAAATCAATTAAGACATTCCCATGAAGAAGTAATGCTGATCTTATGCCAAGCAAAATGCAGACAGACACAGAGATACCTCCACATTGCTGTGGTTTGGGGTCAGGGCAGCCCCCAGAATCATGTTTACATGCAGATTTTGGCAGTTGCCTCCACATCTCTAGATTTATGTGTGTCCTGGTTTGGGGTAAATAAAACTGGTTCTGCTCTGTGATTTTACTTTTTAGCTAAAGTTCTTCTAATTAACTGCTCTGTCTGAGTTAGCAGCAGAGTTTTCATAAACTATCTGGCTGCAGCAGTGGTAAGACTTCATGTTTAGAGATGTGGAGGCAACTGCCAAAATCTGCACGTGGTTCTCTTACCGAATTAAATTCTCCTTATACGTAACACTTGTCTGGGATGGTGTCAGTGTTATGTTGCCTTCCTCATCGCAGAGCAAGCTGTCTGCTGTCAGAATGTAATAGCCATTGGAAAGCAGGCGGGGGCTGCGGCGACAGGAGGCAAGGCAGCCTGTCAGAGGACTTGTGGAGCAGCACTCATAGGCACGGTCGTCATCCAAAAAGGCATGAGCAGAACTGAAAAGGAGAAATGAAACCCTCTGGTTTAGTGCATGTCTAGACGGAGCAAACTCATGATTTCATACTCATGAATATAAATTACCAGCTGATGGGGGCTAGTCATGACACAGTTTTACAATCCATGGATATAATATTACTTCTGGACCTCAGGGTTTCAGCCAGCTAGAGTGTGCCTGCATCCCACTTCCCAGAGCTTCTGATTACGGGAGGGTTTCATGGCAGGTGGAGCATTTCATGCACTCATGGAGCCAGCCTGAATTGAGTTCATGGCGTATTTCTGGGGCAGTGATCTTGGCCAAGGAGTCCTGCCAGATCTACACCTACTTGGAGCCATCAGAGGTATTCCAGGATTTTGCTTCTCTGAGTTACTCTGCGTGGTGCAAATCTGAGTGCCTCTGAACCAGACAGGATTTATTTACTTTTTAAAACCCAGTCATACTTCATGAAAGTTTAAGAATACATGACTTAATTCTCACAAATCCTAGAGTACCATGCAACTAGAACAACATGGGATAAAGCCTACACATGGTGATAACTTCATCCAGCACTGAGATACAATTGACTTTAAGATGAAATATAGCACAGAAAAAATATACTATGTGGTATTTAAAACAGAAGTGAGTAGTGACAGAGGTGAATGAATCTAAGTGAGGTAGACATTTTGCTTAGCTCAAGTAAAACTGGATTTATGGTTAGTCCTTTCTCCTCAAGACATTTGAGTTCCAAGTGGCCATGCAGTGACATCCATGGAAAGAAAGGAAGAGACTTGATTGGTTCTGTGGCTGACAAGGGTTCAGTAGCAGGTTTAACTATCCTGTATGGCATGTCACAGAGGGTTACCGTAATTTCAGCGAAAGGAAAAGCAGGTGGAACTGGAGAGATACTCCAAAACTGTGTAACTGCAAAACCAGTGCTTCCTATCCCCACAGCAGTACTTCTGGACTTCTATTTAAAGCAGCAACTGAATTAATTTCAGCACTACAATTTTAAGTGGCCCTAAAGGATTTTTACAAAATCTCCAACAAAATAAAGCTAAAATTAAACAAAGAACATTTTCCCCAATACCTTGGAAAAACAGGTGGTGAGAGGCTGCATCTGTGTTCCCTGTTAAACGCCGTTGAACCTGCAGAGGCAAAGGTCAAATAAGGACTTGTTATCATATCCACCGACTGCTCTGACAGTTGACAGGTTTTCACTGACAGGTGCCTTGTGCAAAAAGATCATGAAAGAAGCTAAAAAGAGAAAAGGAATTTAAGGGAGAGATTAAAAGAGATTGAATAGCAAGAGAAATAATTATTGGACACTAATGCAATAGCTGCAGTAATTTTAATGGTATTTTCCCAGAAATCTCCTTAATGTCAAAAATAGTACATGTGCTGGCAATAGAGGCAGCAGAGAATGGAAGAGGCACCATTCCCATTCCCATATATTTTTCATATGAAAATTGCAAACATCACATGACAGGCACAGGGATAGCAAGGGTGACAAAGATTTGACAATGATACTGTGACCGGAGACCAAGGAAACAGGATTTGTCTGGGTGACTGTGGCTCAGGTCTGCAAAGTGCTGCCAGGTGTTGAGCAGCTGACAGGATCAGTCTTATGAGATACGAGCAATGGCTATCCATAGGGAGAATTTATATCTGGTACTACACAGAAAGATGAAAGATATAATCTTTCCTTTTATTACTTTGCCTCCCCCGTATCTTCAGAGCATCATGCTTACAACACAGTAAATGCCCATCATTCACCTATGAGGGGGAAAGTTCTAAGAGGTTTTTTTTTTTTTATGTTCAGTTATGAGCTGAGGCAAAGTGAAGACATGAAGGTCAGTGTTTCCACTTTAGTAATCTTGTTTATCCTCATTTGGAGCTCAGTTGTCAGTCACAGCGTGGATGTGAGGGCTGACTGAGCCTAGGAACCAGGCAGGGTCACCAAAGGAGGGAAGTAAAACCTTCCAGGCTATTTTTTACTAATCAGTCCCATTACCCCGCTCCCATACATGCTTCTTCTCTTACACTTAGAAAAAAAAAAAAAAACAAAACACACCAAAAAACCCAACGTATCAATTTACCATAATAAAATTATGCTTTAACACTTTCAAAACCAACTTGAGGAGACAGCTGGTAGAAGCTTCTTGGAGGTACAAAGAGATGAAGTAGAGTTGGTCAGAAATGTCACACAGCAAGCTGTACAGAAAGTGAGAGCAGTGGTGTATTTCATAGTTGAACATCTACATGTTGTAGACTGTTTGTTTTTCTTTTTCATATACAATTAGCTCCTGAAATAATTTCTCTTATTTTAGGCAAAATCATGATTTTTAATTGTGCAAAAGTATTATACCCAAACCCAAGAAATTGATCCAAACCCTGAAAGAAAATACAGAAAGAACTCAGCAGATGTTTTGTAGATATAAACTAAAACTTGCAAAATCCCAAATCTTATCAGTCAGACAAGTTCCCCTCCACAACAATTTTTTTTTTTAATCAAAAGCTTAGACAAATATGCACAAATTTACTTCCTCCTGGTGTTGATGCAACATGTGATGTTCCATACATCTTGAAAAGGATTGTTTCATACACCTTGGCATAACAGACAATACAGATTATCTGTAAAAGAGTTTAAAAAGAAAGAGAAAGATATTTTAATTTTTTCTGGATTGAAAAACATCAATTATCATCAATATATATCATATTGTTAGTTATAATATATTCTTGCTTAGGCAAAAATAGTTGATTCTATTGCAGATTTGTTTGAGAAGGGATGCAGACGTATACCTCAGCATCAATTATACCTACTACAGCTCTTTCATCTGAGAGTGAAACTTTCCAGCAACTGAAACCCACAACATGTGGTTTTACATGTGATTTTCTCAGGTACGATAATGCAAAGTAACAACCACTAAGAAATAATAACTTTCAAGAATGGCAGCTTACATATGGGTAGGGCTTTCATTAGAAAATATTGACATACACTGATCAAAGTGGCAGAACAAACCACAGTGCTTCTGTTACTAACTGAAATTGTCTCATAAATTCACAAGGTACATCTCTGCAGGACACATGTTTATCTGCCACTCTCCACAGGAGTAAATTTTAAGGTAAAATAGAGCATATATGCATTTTTGTAACAGAAAGTGAGAGATATACCTAGGCAAGTATATTACTGGGGGGGCGATGAACTTCTCTTTTGAAGAATAGTTAAGCAGTTGTAATTTGCTTTCAAACTATTCTAAGTAATGATAACATCAAGCTTCTGGAAACAGTCATAGAACAGCCAGTCCAATGGCTTTTTTTACTATCCCTTCGTCATGAAAAGTTTTGTCTCATGTGTTAATGAAAAGGGTTCTGAAAATCATAATTCAATCAATGCTGGATAAAGCATAGCAACATGTTGTAGACAATGCTGGGCAGTGTTCTGCTTTCATTTAATATTCAAACCCATTTCTGGGCTATTAATAGTGTGAGAAGCTATAGTTACACTATAAGCAAGCCAAAACAAAGCATCCCAACGGCCACTGTGCAATGAAGCAGTAGTGTTGTATCTGTAATCCACACAACGAGCATCAGTACAGAACATTTAAGCTATGACATGAGAAAAAGTCAACAGCTTTAAGAAATACCACTAAAAGTGAATCTGAGGTGAATGCAGCAATATTTTATGTCAAGAATTCGGATAGGAGTTTAAGGCAACAATTCAATGGTTCGATAACTCCCCTTGAATTTCTAAACACCCAGAAGCCCATGTCATAATATAAAAAAGAAAGTCACCATCTAAACCAGCCAGTTTTAATAACTTTTTCCACCAAAAAGCAAGTTAATCTTTAAGCCAATGATGCACTCATTTGGTAGCCAGCAATCCCCTGTCCATGTTTATATTCTAAATATCTACAGTAGTATGTACAAAAATATAGTTCTATTAAAATAGCTGAAGCCCAGGCAACCAGTTTTATTCTATTGCACCTATCAATCACAAGTTTCAAACTCAGAGTTTTACTTGTTTACACATATCAGTCATTTTTGAAAAGCAGTCTAGTCTTTTCTCCCTGCATGTAATGATAACAACATTATAAAAAAAAAAAAAAAAGTTCCTGAAGAGCCATACAGAAATGAAACCAAAGCTGAGCTATTCCTCAGATGACCAATACATTGAGATAAAATACACGTAAAATCTTCCAAACCTGAAAAATCCATTTCACTATTAACACGTGTATGCAAAAAAGTTTCTCATCAGCAACACGAGAGGCTCTGAGATGTGCAGGGTGTTCTCTCTGAGGCTTCCTGGAGGAGATGAGCCCTGGCTCTTGGGGAGGGCAGGGCTGTCAGGTCCCCTGTTTCCTTTTGAAAGCAGCCCGTGCAATCAGCGGCACAGGGGCGGAATGAGGTCACGCTTCCTGCAAAGTAGCCTCACATCAGAGGCGTTCGTTCTGAAGAGCAAACTGAAGATTAAGATTAGCCCAGTGAACGCTCTTACAGGCTGTTGTGAAAAAGAAGATACACTATAAATAACTTTTTGCTCCAATTATGATACGGAGAAAAAAGACAGAATCTTTTCTCATAAAGAAATACGACACTGATTTTTGTTTCAACTTCACTTTTTCTACCTCTCTCAAAAACTTTTAAAGTAATACATCCAAATCACTTCATTGGCTGAAAATACTTGTGAGCCTGACAGGCTTTGATGTAGGAAGATGGTGCATCTACCAAAAAACTCCACGTATAGCAACAAGCCATTTTGGAAAAGCATTATTATGCAGAATTTGGTGAAAGTTCAGAGTTGTTTAAGTTTCACAGTCAACAACATTATTGCAAGTATATACTATACAATATTAAGATAAAGTCCTCTGAAAGGAATAAAAACATTTGTAAACACATTTATTGATTCATCCTATATGTTTCATACTATGTAAAGCATTGATTCATACCTTAAAGTATACAAATATAAAGTTAAATCCATGTAAGAGAAAGGGAGCCTAAATAAGGTGTCCTGCCAATCAAAAGGCTATAGAACTATTACACACAAAAGTAATATACATCAGCTGCTTGACACTGAAGAACTATAAAACTTTAGGGAGCAAAACTTCATCTCCAGACAAAAACATAAAATATGGTGGCAGGTATCTCTCCTGACATCTATATCTATCACTGACAAACAAAAAGCATAAACTTAGTACAAGATGATTGACTTGATTTAATGATAGGTATTTTCCCTAGAGAAAGAAAAATACTTCCACTGATTACAAGGGAATGTAAAATGCCTCACAGAAAAGGAAACAAAAATAAGAATTAGGCAATTAGGATGTTACAGAAGAGCTTCTGTTTGAGAGAAACTAAAAGGAACATTTAAAGATCCTTTTGCTCAACCATGAGAACACAGAGCCATGTTCGTTCTTCACAACACTTATTTTAATTTAGTTGAACCATATCAGTCAGAAAATTTCGTCCCACACTATTTCCATGGATGCACAGGCTCTATCACAGGAGGATTTCCCAGGCTCTGTGCAGGCAATGGGTATAAAGTCCCAACGGTCTTTAAAACTAGGTCACCTAGTGAAGGATTTCTGTACATACACTGATTTACAGCACAAGTTACTTCTTGGGAGTATTTTTGGTTTCTTTTAATATTCTTCTCAACAGGAAGCACACAGCTAATTCTGAGCTCTGGCTGCTTTTTTGAAGGACACTGGCCTTTCCTGTTTGTCTGTATAGTTAAAATACATTGTGTCTATATGATATTTAGACTTAGAGGTTTTCGGGTTTTTTTTTTAATCACTAACATGCATATCTGAAACACTCTTTTCCACAAGATTTTGATGCATAAACTGTGCAATTTTATATTCACTAATAGGTAGGTGCTAGCCTATAGTTCATATACACACAGAGAGAGCTTTAGATACAGCTCTTTTATGTTACTCTTTCTGCTGCTGCTGAAACTGCCCATCCCACCCTAAGCCCCATCTCAACTGTCAGATTTCAAATTCTAGGAAGTGAACACACCAACAAGCTTGCTGTGCAGTAGTTTTATGCCTGTTGCATGCACTACAAGTTCAACCCACGAAAGGAAGGAAACGAGGAGTTACTAAACCCCACGTATCTTTCTCCTCTTCTCCCAGGCTTACTCTACTTTCACCAACACTACAAATAAAGGAGAAAGCAGATTGCTGGTGGAAAACATCTTCTGCTGGGTCTGGCAGTCCAAGAGAGGCCGGAGCAGCTCCATGCCTGAGGTCCCAGCAGCATTGAGCCTGAGCCTGTACACCCAGCAGGCACATGCACACAGAGCACATGTAGAGACCATAGATATAGATACATCTAGACGTACACAGCTGGAAACACAGGTAACAAAGACAGACGTACAGAGCACTCACACAGACAGCACTGATGGCCTCATCCTCCTCACCTCTCTGGTTGGAGGTTCCCTGGTGAGAATACACACATACATATACACACATCTGGATCCCTGCACCAGCTGGGCTCAGACACTCAGTTTGCCCAGTAGCTGCCCCTAGAGCCCAGCCTCCCCAGTTGCTAGCACCTGGACATTTAAACCATCAAATCCACAGCTCCACTTCAGTTGCTGGTAGAGACCATCACACATACAGAGCTGGCCAAGATGCCCCTGGTCCTCTGCAGCCCACTCCTTGTGGTGTTACTCTTAGAGAAACCCCTGGCCAAAAGGCATCTCATGCTCCCAGGCAGCAACCCCACTCAGTCCCAAAGGTACTCTGGTGTTGACTCTTCTGGGTAGGTTTCATGACTGGACACACAGGCTAAGGCTCCTCTGGGACAGCCTTGGGAGAGGTCCAGACAGGGTGTGCCTGCCCCTGTGTCCTTAATTTGGGTTCCCACCTGCCTTTGTGCCCCTGTGCTCCTCTGGGCTGGCCTTTAATAGGCTCATGGCTCCTGGGATGAGCCTGGAAGCAGCTGGGGCAGGGTATTATTTGGGCTTCCCCTTGTTCAGTTGACTCTCTGTGATCCTTTGTGGGTGTGCAGATGAGCTTTTAGCACATATTACACAGTAAGTCTGCCATCTCAGCAGCCTGCTGCCACTCAGTGTGCTGCACTATTGTGCTAAACACACAATTTTCAGAGAGGGTATTTTGCCTGGTAGGGTAAATTGAGTGGCCGTGGTGGAGGGAGCAGAATGCTTATGTATTGAAGGCAATTGAGAGTAATTTGATGCTTCTGTAACTATTTTTGAACCTCCTAGAAAGCTCACAGCCTTTAGCTTTTCTGCCAGCTTCAGTGGCCATCAAATCAGGCCATTTGTCCCATATCACAGCTCTTTATTAATACTGTTTATATAGCACTCTGTAAGTAAAAAATATTCTGAGATACTTGAAAGTTAATTGAAACATTCAAAAAACTAGCAGGGGAAAGGCTGGTCAAGAGAACCTTAGAGCAGCCACCCCGTGTCAAAGTGAAGGTCTCTGCAACCCTCCCTGCCTGCGACCTCGCTGCAGGGAAAACCAAAGCTCATTTGAGTTCACCTTTGTGAAGGATAACATTTTAAGCTAAGTGCATTCCTTTATGCAGCAGAACCACTTAGCACTGTTTGAGGTGTCCTGGCATTTAAAACAAACAAACAACAAAATCTCACCAATCCAGAC